GTAGGGCTTGGTCTGCAGGCCCTTAACCATACGAGTGGCTCTTCTCTGGACCCTCTCCAGGGTATCCGCATCCCTCTTGAAGTGCGGTGCCCAGAATTGCACTCAGTACTCCAACTGCAGTCTGACCAGCACCCAAAAGAGGGGAAGTATCACCTCCTTGGACCTATTCGTCATGCATCTGCTGATGCACGATAAAGTGCCATTGGCTTTTCTGATGGCTTCGTCACACTGCCGACTCATGTTCATCTTGGAGTCCACTAGGACTCCAAGATCCCTTTCCACTTCCGTGCCAACCAGCAGGTCATTCCCTAGGCTGTAGGTGTGCTGGACATTTTTCCTCCCTAGGTGCAGCACTTTGCAGTTCTCCTTGTTGAACTGCATTTTGTTGTTTTCTGCCCACTTGTCCAACCTGTCTCTTTCCTTTCTTCCCTGCTTGTATGCCAGCAAAGAAAAAATCAGCTTCCCTAGTTAAGACAAGAGCACCCCCATTTTGGAAGGCTGATTTTAGGCAGGAGGAAAGTGGGTGTGGTATGTGAGTAAATATGGTATGTGTGTGCCAGTAAATATGGTAGCACTAAATATACTCTGATATGAAAAGAAACAGTACAGCTGTTCAAGCTGTTTTTTAGCACTACAAAAACAGAGAAAGTGCCTCAAAATAGCTCTTTCATACCTTCCCAATTTTGTAATGCTACATGTACTATATGTCGTGTTACAGGGGCCTTTAGGAACCCCAGCATCTAACAGTCTTCTGCTCTCCCTCCCCACTCCAAAGGCAAGGGCCGGAGGGAGAGCAGCTGGCTCTGTAATAGCCTGTCCAGCAGCACAACATACCTAGTCTCTAGATCAAGTGCACCAAAAAACAAAATAAACCAAAAAAACTCAGTTCAAAGTGCTCAGTTACCTGGCCTTGATTTGTCACATATCTTATGAGCAAGGTTTCCATGTAAACTTTCCAAATCACTGTAGCTCAGTGCAAATAACACCCTCTCCCGTTCTCCTACAATCTGTTCGAGTTCAGTTCGACTTGCTCGGTCCACTCCAACAGCAAAGATGTTGATGCCATCCAGCTTCAAAGATTTTGCCACTGCTGCAAGATTGTAGCTATCTGAAGGTGCAGTTGGCCGATCAGTAATAAGCACAAGGATTTGAGAGAGACCACGAGATGATGCGCGACCACCATAAGCCACACCAAATCTTTCCCTGGTAAAGTTCAAAGCCCTTGCTGTAAAGATCTGAAGTCCTTGTTCTGGTAAGGGTCTCAAATTAAATATTGCTTCTCTGACATCCAATTTAGTGGAGTACTCATTCAGTGAGAAACGCTCCTTAGAATTAACGCTATAGACCACAGCCCCAAACTGAACATTGTTTTTTCCAACCACTGAGTCATTTACCAAAGCCATCATGAGTTGCTGCACACTCTTGAACTGCAAGTCTGTAATGCTTGACGATCCATGTATTACAAATATGATGTCTGCAACTTCTGTCCTTTTGCACACTGTGATGAACAAAACAGGAAACAAAGCAATAATATTAAGATTGAGCCTCTCTTACCAGCTCCCTCCCTGCTCCATCTCATTGATACCACATGCTAGCTGAAACCAGAAAGTGTGGATGACTATTAAAAAAAAAAAAAAAAAACTCATAAAGAGCATTCAAGGAGGGCTGTGGGTATTTTTTTTCTCCAAAAAAGAAAATATTCACCCCTCAAAGAGGAAAAAAAAAATATTACAACCCCGAGGAAAAGCACAGGATTATGTTCTGTAAAAAGAATGAATTTATTTTCTGCTAGTGCATTTCATTTTACTATTGTTGCTTACTTTGGAAAATGAAGAAATGCCGAAGTTTTTCAGTAAAAACATGGGGGGAGGGAGAAATCAAATTTTATGAGGAATTAAAAGCAAAAAATGGCAAGATCAAGAAGAAAGAGGGAATATTCAAGAAGTCATTACTAGCACTTACAATCCTCTGGCTTGCAAATTTCAGAAAGAATCTGTTTTTCCAAAAAGATGAGGGAATCAAAGTTGTCCTCAAAGAGCACTTTTCCTGGTGTGCCAGAAATCTCTACAAGCTGAGTCTCATTGGCCTGGAGTACACCGATGGCATAGACAGTAATGCCTTTGTCTCTAATCATTTTAGCAGGCTCACCCACAGAATCTTGGGCCTCCCCATCTGTGATCATTATTAGATACTGTTTTATTTCAGGTCTTCCCCCTTTGGATTTGTCAAAGTAAGATGAGGCAAAAGCAAGGGCTTTCCCAGTCAGTGTTCCTGATCTTAGCTGCCTGATTTCTGAAATAGCTCTCCGTAGACCAGGCTTGGTGCTGTAGCTGTTCAGCTGGAACTCTTCTTTTGCCTGTGAGCTGAACTGCAGCAACCCAATCCGAACTTTATCAGTACCAATATCAGACCTGTTCACAATCAACTGTATAAAATTCTTCATCTTCTGAAAATCAACAGGGTGGATACTCTCCGAGCCATCAACCAGGAAAATAATGTCGGCTTTTACATTCTCACAGGCTGGGAAGTAAAAGAACATGGAACAGACATTTGCAAACAGTTTACATTGAAAATAAAAAAAACAGGATTATTGGCTAGGAATTGTAAATTGTATATGTTAACAGAAGCCAGAAGAAAGCCCAGAGAAGGCTGCCTATAACAACTTAGGAGCCAGCCAGGCAATAGGCAAACAGGGCAGAGCTCCAGGCAGAGAGGAAGGGCTGCAGCTCAATGCCGTTGAGGACTTCAGACTGCTTATTGAGCAGATGGGCCACCCATCTGGTCAGGAACATTTCAGCTCAACTCTGGAGCCACATCGGGCAGTCTGGCCCAGGCAGTGCTAGGAGAAAGAGCTCCTAGCACAGAGCTGAAAGGCTGTGAGAACCACGAGCAGGCCCATGGGTGCCAGAGCTGTGGAGAGGCACAGGCTTATGTACTACTTTTGATTCAGAACATCTGTAGACAAGGCCAGCATGTGGCCCAAAGGAACACTTCGAACCTGAATAGATAGGTTTGTGGCAAAAATAGTCTTTGATATCTAAAACCAGTCTTAATCTTGCCCTCCTAGAAGATCAATCTACTACATTTATCATACTGTTCATGTATTTAGGATCTCAAATAAAGTAGTGCCGGACTAAGGACAATATACAACAGCAGTTGTCACTTTGTTCCATATTTATGGACTAAGTAAAAATCTTAGGTACCCCTAAAAAAAGAAACCAAAAAGAAATAGGTATGCAATAGATAGGTTTGTGGCAAAAATAGTCTTTGATATCTAAAACCAGTCTTAATCTTGCCCTCCTAGAAGATCAATCTACTACATTTATCATACTGTTCATGTATTTAGGATCTCAAATAAAGTAGTGCCGGACTAAGGACAATATACAACAGCAGTTGTCACTTTGTTCCATATTTATGGACTAAGTAAAAATCTTAGGTACCCCTAAAAAAAGAAACCAAAAAGAAATAGGTATGCATATACATGAACACACACACACACACACACACAGAGCCATGTTCCCAAATTTTAATGCCTGAAATTTGATTTTGTTTTCACCTGCAAGATGTGTGAATTTGTACCCTTCCAGCAAAATAAGGATAGCCTGGACTTTACCTGGGAAAGCTTGAGAAGACACAGAAGAACGAAGTTATTTATGCATTTATATAGCAAATATATCTTCAGTGTAACCACAACTGAGCACAAAGGCAAACTCTCTGGAACAGGTTAGAGCAATTAAGGAAAACATCTTACCCTTTGATGAGCAAATGTCATGCACAATGTCATGCTTGATGTGCTTTAGGGAATCAAAATCATTCACAAAGAACATTCGATCTTCTGATCTTGCTATGTCCTTCAGCTCCTCTTGGACCGCCTGCTTGATACCAATAGCGTATATAATAATTCCTTCTTGTCTCAACTCTTCTGCTGCCCTTGTCACTTCATCTTGGGACTTACCATCTGTAATAACTATCAGAATCTGGGGAACATTGGTCCTGCTAGCCTTTGCAAAAAGACTTTTCATATATCTTAATGCATCTCCAGTTTTGGTGCCACCGCCCATCTGTTGAATAACTCTCACTGCTGCCTTTAACTGCACCATTGTGTTATATTGACCAATCTCAAATTGTGTCCTGGGAATGCTTTCGTACTGAACCACACCAAAGCAAACTCTGTCTGCACCGACCTGGAAAACGTCAATCATCTCATTCATGAATGTTTTCATGTCCTGGAAATCGTTGGGCATTATGCTGCCAGAGCCATCAATCAAGAAATAAATATCAGCTTCCTCAATCTCAACACAACCTAATTGACAAGAAAAAGGGGAACTTTCAAAACATGCAGTTCCAGAATATTCTTAATAATATGCCATCAAAAAATCATGCTAATCATAATACTTAGTCTTGAAGAAATTACTACATTTTCTAATCCAAGGACAGATAAAAATCTTGGAAATTTGGGGGAATTAGATGAGATCAGTGAGAGACAAATGAAAGATTTGTACCATAATTTAAAAGGTTAGTGAGCAAAATGGATGCACTAGAAGCACTGGTATGACACACGTGATGGAATAGCAATCACGAATGGAACATAGCATTCTAGGTTATACTCTGTTCAGGAAATAAAGGTAAAGGTGGAAATAAAGATAAAAGGGGGAAAAGGATAGTATGCATAAAACAAACTGTCTGGGTCAGTCACTTCGGGAAAGGATTGTAAAAGAGATTCTATAGGATATTGTTATGGATATGGATAGAAAACTGTAATATTATCAGAGAAATAAACACTCCTGAAAAGTGTGTTACTATGGGAGACTAACTTCCCAAATATAGACTGAAGAATAAATCTCCTGATGTGACCCCGTTATTTTTTTAATATGAGAGAAGTAATTTCTTCACCAAATGCTCACAGAAATAATGAGGTGTTACTATTTCAGACTTGGTTTTGATAAGTAATGACATCACAGAAGAGGTGGCCAGGGAAAATAACCTTGGATCAAATAATGACAAGCTGATTCTGTTCATATTAAGGGAAGGATAAACAAAAGGTCAGTCTCACCTCCGTCCTTGGCAAAATCTTTGAAAAAATTATCAAGGCTCACATTTGCGAGAGCCTGGCAGGACAAATTATGCTGAGGGGAAACCAGCACGGGTTCGTAGCAGGCAGATCATGCCTGACTAATCTAGTCTCTTTTTATGACCAGGTTACAAAACACCTAGACACAGGAGGAGGGGTGGATGACGTATACTTAGACTTCAGGAAGGCCTTCGATACGGTATCCCACCCCATACTGGTGAACAAGTTAAGAGGCTGTGACTTGGATGACTACACAGTCCGGTGGGTGGCAAATTGGCTAGAGGGTCGCACCCAGAGAGTCATGGTGGATGGGTCGGTTTCGACCTGGAAGGGTGTGGGCAGTGGGGTCCCGCAGGGCTCGGTCCTTGAACTGATACTCTTTAACGTCTTCATCAGCAACTTGGACGAGGGAGTGAAATGTACTCTGTCCAAGTTTGCAGATGACACAAAGCTATGGGGAGAAGTGGACACGCCGGAGGGCAGGGAACAGCTGCAAGCAGACCTGGACAGGTTGGACAAGTGGGCAGAAAACAACAGAATGCAGTTCAACAAGGAGAAATGCAAAGTGCTGCACCTAGGGAGGAAAAATGTCCAGCACACCTACAGCCTAGGAAATGACCTGCTAGGT